GGCTCACGTTCCACGACGAGGGAATCTGGCGTACCCATGACGAAGTTGTCGTAACCAAATGATGGCCAATTCGACGAAATCCTAAGCCGCTGCCGGCGACACTGGCAGTCAATTGGACGCGCATTAAAACAGCGCGCATAGCCTGATCCTCGAGAGGAAAAGACTTCGTCATATCCTCGTCGAGATTGTTTCGCTTGTTCAGACCGGTTATTTTGGCGAGCTTCAACGTTTGACCGCTAGAACAATGGAAACATAGACGCCTTGGCCCAGAAGACAATTTTTGCCGTGAGCTACTCGTTCGGATCCAAATGGTGATCGGTGCGGTAAGAGTTCGGTCGTCCCGGTCAAGCGCTTTCTCGCTCGAAGTCGTTCCTAGCACAGTCCCGATGTTGCTTTTTTAGTTATCGACAGTATACTCTGCGGGATCTCCGTCGCTTATTTGGCATTATTCCTTTGCTATAATCCGATCGCCGTCAACATTTAGGTCCTTCCGGGCTGGGTGCTGCTCCGGTCATCTTTTGGGTGTGGACGTTAATAGTTCCGAGTCGACCTCCCCGCTGGAAATTCACGGTCTTCGATGAGCGGATGGAGGCACAAATCAATCTTTCGAACGGACTCGGATGAAGGGTATCAAATGTCCATTGGCTTGTGGATAGTCGAGCCCAGGACGACGCATCTTCACCTCACGGTTAGGCAGAGTCTTGGTTGGCTCAACTGATATTGTCAGGAAACAGTCAGCGGTTGTTGAATAGAAAACAGTCTGGGGATATGCCGTTGGATGTGGACGCCGAGGCGGTTCCAAACGCTCGATATGCAGCAGAACATACAACCTCAACACGACGTTCACCCAACCAAGGCCCCACCACCCATGGACCGAGATCAAACTCCTCCCGGTACCGACTAAGTCGTCCCCTTATCCTCAACTCGGGTACTTAGCAAGAACCTGGTTGGCAGAGTCAGCATCACTCATACGCAAAATACTGCCCGAAATAGCTAGACGGCTAAATCATTTGACCATTCCCATACCCCGTGTCCATCTTAGGACCCCTCGGTGAATGGGCCCGCCTTTGCTCTATGGCCTCATCATGCATGTCCAGTTGCTGCCTCACTAGTCATTAGCGTTAGGCCCACACCGAAGCAATTGACTCTTGTAATTGGGTGTTGTCCCGACGGAATGAGGCACTGGGTGGAGAGTTTGGCACTATGAAGCTTCATGTGGGCCAGAAGCAGGCTGACTATTAGGTCGGCCGTCGGTTTGCCCAAGGAGGAACTCTCCGGAGTAAACCGGTTCAGTCCGCCGATGTATTGAACCCCCCCAAAAAAGGCTCACAGAAATACTAGCGCCAAGTCACGCAATGAATGCAAGCAGTTCGGAGTAGAACCAAGGCCCATGGTAACTCGTTATTTCACATCTGGGATTAAGTACTGCACGATCATTCGAGTGAGTAGAGATTATTTTCATTGGGATGCACACACCCATCATTTGCACACTTCAAATCAGACGCCACCCATGCCGATGTTGCTTTTGTTGAGAACAAAGAAAAGGAAACTGTGCTTCCAGTTCGGTGATGGTGATGGTATGGTATTTTACAAGTTGCTCGCTGCGGGGAGGTGAATCAACACCTCCACAGTGATTATTTTCCCTTCTTCCATCTTTACACACATGCCTGAAGGCGATGTTATGAGGCCCGTCTTGTAGACGGACTCACCCCGGTCTATGCCCAACCCAAGTCTATAACCGTCTATTATTCTATGGTGATTTTCCCCATCGACATATTAAGACGCGAAGTCATGCTTATGACACAGCGACTGGGATTCTCGTATCGCTCATTTCACATACGTAACGACGTATAGTGAAGCCCGGCCTCCATAAGTTTGGATATTAAAATGTTTAGGTCTGACAAGACAGTTAGTACCGATGCTGGGACCGTCCAAGTTCACTGTGGGAAATACATACGAATTTGGCCATGAGGGCAACCATCAGATCGAAAAGACCAATGGCCTCGACGAAGGCGAAACCCAGAATGGCGTATGAGAAGAGCTGGCCGCGGAGAGCAGGGTTGCGGGCAACACCATTCAGGAGGGCAGCGAAGACGAGACCGATACCAATACCAGCACCAGTTAGACCAATGGCGGCGGAACCCATACCCAAGTTCTTAGAGACCTCAACCATAGCCTGTGCGATCTCGGAAGAGTAGGCACGGCGCTGGAAAGCCTGGCGGGTAGTGGCGCTCAGGATCTTGGAGGCCTGCTGGCGCTTGGCAGCCTGGAAGGGAGTGGCATTGCCTGGAAATAAATGTCAGAGTTCAGGTTCTAAATTGGATCGATCGGGCATTTGACAGGCTCGACCGGAGCCAATTGCGTGATTTTTGCAGAAAAACGTACTGGTGATGGTGCGCTTAGCAGCAGCGCTGGCGAAAGAAGCGCGGACCGCAGGGCGAGCGACCTTGGCGCCCATAGAGGCGAAGGCGCGGGAAGCAACAATGCGAGCAGAGGCCATTGTGATGGACGTGGATGTGTTGTTGGTGATGGAGGGGGGAGTGTCGAGCAAAGAGAGGACAGGCGAGTGGGCTGAGGGAAGAAGAGATAGGAGCTTGAAGAAGGGGAAGAAAAACTTCTTTACGGTGCGGTAGAAAAGAAGAAAAGTTTGATGGAGCTCCAGGAGAACGACAGAACAGTTGTTCCGGGGCTGGGCATGGACCACCAGCTGGCACCGGCACTGTGTCTCAGGGAATGAAGCTGAACCGTGGACTTGAATGAAACCCACACGGCGTCGTCGACACAATACAGCAGACACAATGGGGCCAGCACAGAGGTTGCAACAAACCTTTTTGCTCTATTGGAGGCTACCCAAAGGAGACAAGGCTGACGGGTTTCATTGTTCATTTACAGGGATATCGGGCGTTTCCGGGTACAGCGCTTGTAAGGTCAACCCGACCTCACTATTCTCGGCAAGATTGGCTTTGCGGCTTTTCCTGCCAACCTTGGTCGAGAGCACGATAACACAAGCAGCAAGGGCTTAGTGTCGACATCAAAAGCACTCAATATCGAGGCCACAACATAGGATTCATATTCGCTGATCGGGTATCACTGTCCTGAGAAAACTCGTTACCGTCGAGGCGCTGTCGAGCAACACCGAACCGGGGCAAAGGATGCGACGCGAAAAGAGGCGGGAAACTAGGTAATGCTTGTGAATCCCCACTGACTAAACTCGATCCTCCACTTGGTCCGATCTCACGGATAGCAAACATGGAGCCCAGCTGCTATCGGAACGAGCTCATAGGCGACTGTGCACGAGTGGAGCTTGTCTGACGATAGCATGATACAGAATGCGGGAGCGAAACAACATAAAAAGGAGGACGCATCCTCGTGGAGATGAGCACGTAGAGTAGACGAACCGCTGTTTCTTCGAGACCGCAGCAACTTTGCTACAAGTCCCTACTGCAACCGTGAATGCTAGTGTGAGTCGGCTCTGAGAAAAGTCACGCAGGTATCACCATCCAGGTACCCTAGGCGGCAAGCCAGGTTCATCTCGCAGGTTGACGGCACTCCGTCTGTGGCCTATTTCGAGTCATAGTGCGAGGGCCAATGGAAAGTCGCCAATCGTTATGGATTCCGGCAATCCTGGCCAGCAATCTTCGGCTTGACGTGCAGCACATAGCGTACTATGTACACTACCTAGGTACTTACACCGCACGTTGCAGCGCCAATCCTGGCCAGCACTAGGCAGCGTGGGAGCAGGGAATATACAGCAGCTATACACTACGTACGCATCACGGTACTGCACTGTGACGGGACAGTTGTCAGAGAGGAGAGGAGAAAGCTACACCTGCTAGCCCCGTTTCCACGAGATTGGGAAATTATATGGATGTGGGTACCTCAATTGACCGGGTTTGGAGGCGCAAGGGGAAGGAGGGATTTTTCTACCGTTGTTCCAAGCTCTTCCGGATCGCAGGGACCTGGGCGAGTCATGGGTGTTTGAGCCTCAACGATCGGCTGCTACACTTACACTAGGCCGAGATGCGACCCAGAGCCAAGTACATGTGTATGGCTCTCGGCAAGTGAGCCCTTTTTCGTTATCGAATATGAACTGCAACGAGGGTACTTAAGTGTAATCGAACTCAATCAATTGATGAGTGAAAAGAGGTTGCATAGAGTTCTTGGTAGGTAATTGCGATCCTCTACTGAGAAGTCTCGGGGGAGTCGGCATGAAATGTTGCCTGGTGGCAGGCTTCGTCGCAAATTTTTTTTTTTTTCTCGCAGCTGACGTGAAATGACGGTGAGATCCGTGCCGTATGCAGGACATGGATCTTATGAGATACCCGGGTACATGCCACTGCCAAGCCCTCTTATCTATGTAGGCCTAGTGTACCGCCCTGCGACACCACGCTGTACCGAGTAGATAAGTAGCTATCAATCAGCTTGTACGGCTTGTAAACGTACCAAAGTCCGAGATCCTCTCCTTCGCCGAGAGGAGCCTGGATCATCTTACGGAGTAGGTAAGTATGTACTTAGTATCAAGCTAAGCACCGGTCTCTATGCTGTGCGACCAATGCCAAGAATAGTCCTGGATAATGCTATGGATTGATTGGCCATGGCATGTTTATATACTCTCCTTTTATCTACATCTTGTGATACCTCGGAGTATTGGCTATCGAATGCGCAGGTAAGGTACCGCAGCCACATACATAGTAGTACTTATGAATGTTAATTACGCTTACTTATCTTCATATTGTGTGCTGTGCCACCGTCAAATTTCGTGGCCCGAATGCCTCTTACTTATTGCAAAGTAGAACATACTGATTATACCCACTTACACCGAGTCTTATTTGCTTGGATGCTTTTATGGTGGACGGGATTAAAGAAAAGCTTAACCTTGCAACAAACACCAAGGCGTTGTTGATTGTTATTAAGCTACATGATAGGTATATAACCATGCTAAAAGGTCATAAAAAATTAGTAGCCTGAACTTCGATGCGTATATGCCCCCCGCAAAAAATCGACCTCGACGGGACTCGAACCCACAATCTTTGCCAAATCCAGTGTTATTACCGGAAAGCAACGCCTTAGCCATTAGGCCACGAAGCCATCAACGCTTGGAGTTTCTTAGCCTAAAGAGGAACCCTAGTGCTTTAAAACTTGCTGAAACAAGCTAAAGTTAAGAATTGCATAGCTTAGATAGAAGACATATGTCAAGTTAGGTCTGCCTTTAAACGTTGTAACATCGAACAGCCAGCCTTCTAGTCCCCAAAATTATTGCCCTGATTAGGCTTATATAATATGAACCACTTACTAAGCCTTCGTAATGAGGTTGACCCCTAACAATTAGAAACAAGGAGTATTAAGGGGATAGGAGCTTAGGTAAGGAGTCATGGCAACAGCCCTAGAACTTACGGCGAGATCGAGTGTAAAGTCTTCCCTTCTTGTTCGCCTTGTCGGGGTTACAGACGCAACGGGGAACGTGATCTTGTGGCGGTGGCAAGCGGTTACGACTGTGCGAAATGCCGCGATTTGTGGTCCGACTATGTTCTAGTTTGAATACAATACTATTGCATGCTAGCGGTAAAAGCGAGGGACTACCCCTCGGGCGCAGCCTTCGGACTTTGGATATACCGCTTAGGTACTGGCTGTTCTTCTACTTCTACTCATGGAAGAGTTGCAAACGGCTTCGGATAGCCGTTGTCTTCATAATGCACGTTCAACTCTCTATCGCGGGTTGTTAGCAAGTGATGACATACTGGAATTTAGTCAGTAATTATTTCAGGCATATTCTAGATAAGACATATTAGTAGAAAGTTCTTTGTATCTGTTGTGTGTTCGAATCCTACAGTCTTCGCGAACAATACCGATTGTTTTCGTTGGCAATACAGGTAGAGTGCCTAAGTCACTATAGCATTTTTTGAGGTACATCACCACAATCTATCAGACAAGCCTCGGATCTATTTCACGACGTTTCGATCGAGGACGACGAGAAATTTTGCGATGCGTGAAATAAAGGGCATAATAGCCTCCGTCTCTTTCTCCGGACTAAGGAACTACTAGTTACCCGAATCATCGTGAAGATGGATTAAATCAGAGTTTGTTATAGACCAACGTAACCTTCAAGGCAACACTTTTTATTTTCATCTCTTCGCCTTATTTAAGTATTCGATGCTACCGCTGAATTACAACCACCGCCATCAGCAGATATGAAAGCTTTCCCCAGGTAAAATACCTACATAATAGCTACTGGACCTTGCTACCAAACCCTACCACTGCCCCTTCTCGGAGCTATCGTTATCGAGCCGACATGGCAACAGCAACGCATGATCGAGACGCTTCCGCGTCACAAGTGATGTTTCTTAACTTTGAGAACCCAAGCAATAGCGCCAGCCTCTGCCGTATGCGAAAAGATGACGCAGATTCGTTGCTCAAGATGTTAGGGTTGACGCCCGGGTTCATCTCATCACTCAAATTACCGCAAAAAAGAGCAATCGTATTCCTTGCGTCTTACGCCGTGGATTGGAGATCGTGCATCAAAGAATATAATGATATCACATTATGTTATGGCAGAGTATCCAAACGGGAAAAGGCTTTAATATCGGGTCTGGGACAAGTGGACTGTGAGCCCTTGGACCATGCTCAACGCATTCGGTTGGTAAGACAGCAGAGTAGCTTGGCCCCCGGCAGGTATGCATCATGGAAGACACTGTTAACTAGGCCCAGGATCGAATTGAGCCAAAAATCGTTCACCTTCGCCAGAGGTCGTATCACCTGAACTGTGGCATTTCTGCGGTGACACCTCCCGGTGTGGTCGTTCCTCAGACGGCAGGTCTACCTATATTTACGGCCGCCGCCCCTGTCCCTAGTCGCCCTCCTCAGCCGACTGGACAAGCCTTGCCGGCCCCTACAACAACCAGTGGTTCAGCTCTGATGTTAACTACGGCTACTGCCGCAGTCTCCAGCTCCCCACCTCCGGGCAGGCAAACTTCGGAGGCACTTGTCAGTTCCAGTACAAGCGGTGCCATAACCCATAACGATCCGTCATACGGCACAACTGTTGCCGCCACGGTCCCAAATGAACCCATAGCGGGTGCCGGCGGCGGCGTTGAAACGAGTAATGATAGTCAACAGGACGCTGATAGAACGGACGCCGGGCGCGTCCCCGATGATGTCCCTATGGCCAACAGTGATGCAACCAACGCCGCAGACGACCTGAGCAAGGCCACTAGTAACTTAGCCACAGATTCATCAGCGCAGAATGGGAACAATAATGAAGAAACTAAGGAGGACGTTCAGCAAGCTGTTTACATGCTGGTCGACAACGACGAAACTGGTCCGAGCGTCGAGCTGGATAAGAAAGAAGTACAACACAATGATACCGAGCCAATCGCCAGTGAGGAAAACGAAGAACCGCCAAGCAAGAAGAGAAAGCTTAACATCTAGAAGACCGCTCAAACATCCAACGTAGGCGCATGCTAACCACCACGGCCCAGAAGCGCGTCGGGATGCTCCCCCACATTCCCCTTGAACGCTCCCGTCTCTGTCGGGGTGATTGATAGTGAGGGACGGTCGCAAGGGATTGCCTTCAGCAGGGTTCCAGTCTTAGTGACAGTCATCTTATACACCCGAGCGCTGCCACCGATAGATGAGAGGCGCGAGCAACGAGGAGATACCAATAGTTGAAAGAGACAACACCTATCTCGGCCGGTGAAGAACAGTCGATCAGCAATAAGTAAAGCTGTGCTAGATCGCGAGGATGCGGGTGCGGCACACCAATGATCGTAGATAATTAATGAGTGATAACCCCTCCGATCAGAGACCGAGGAGCAGTCAATGAATAATTGACTCATTCCCCAATGGCTGCAGCGCCTTAGCAACGCGAGCGTGGTTGTAAAAGTGTGACAGCTTCTTCCGGTGATATGCGTCAAGATGATGACAGGCGAGTGAATCCTCGACACTGCTCGTAAGTAGTACATGAAGGTGCGTTTCTGTCCAGACTTTTCCGACTCGAAACAGCAGCCCGCCGGTAGTCTACATTGACGGCCCCGTCCTTGAAGGTGCGCGTCTGCTCCTTACACTCATGCACCAGCATCTCTACCACTCGTAATTGTAATGCTCACTACATTGCGATAGTTCAATCGAGATAGGATGATCTTAATTTTCACGAGTTAGCCAATATCAATTGATCCTAATCGAGTAAGATACTACCAGGCGTATTGAGTGTACAACATTTAATTCAACTCTTATGCCTCCTCTACCTTTCTCGTCCAATCATCCGTCCGCCTCTTTCCTCATATTTTTGTTTTGTTTCCCTATCTTCTCCCCTATCTTCTCTCCCTTTACTGATTTCTAAGTCTGCAAGCAGGTACTTGTCTGCTCGTTTCTTTCCTATATGTTCCATATCGTCGTACGCCCCCCTTTACTACATTTACATTGTACCCTTTAAGGCAAAATAGTTTCTGTACTCTTCTCAGCTCCGTAGAAGTACCAACGAAGCATAACCCTCACTCAATATTATAATCATACTTCAATACCCAGCCGAACCTTCGTATTTAATATCACTAATACTATAATGATCCATTATATGCAAATTAATAGACTCGTATCTACATCTCCTCCCCCTGATGTTACTGTCCATATCCAAACTTAGAAAACTCTTCCAAATTATGCCGCGAGTCCGCATCAACGACCTCGTGCGGGGGCCGCAGGGTGACGCTGTCGCCATGGATCTCCGCGACCTGACCGTTCAGCGAGGTGTCGGTCAGCAGCCTCTCCAAGCCCGCGACGAGTGTGCTGGGCGGTGTCACGATCATGTTGGTGAAGAGGGCGTCTTTGCCCGCGATGTTTGTCTCTGGTTGGTTTTCCACCACGTTAGGCACATGCCACCACCACCCGCGTGCGGTATGTATGAAAAAGATGATGCAGTTACAAGATAATTAGCAGGAGAAGGCGAGAGCTCACCGAGCACGGCTGGCGCTAGCGCATTGATCCGGATTCCGATATGTGGCTGCCCGTATACGGGACCGAGCGAGCGCACGAGGCCGACGATGGCGTGCTTCGACGCCGCGTAGAGCGGCTGCGGCGGGAACGGGTACAGGCCTACGTTGGACGCCGTGCAGACGATGGAGCCGCGGAGGCCCGTCGTCGCGTCCGGTGTGTTGCGCTGCATGTAGTGGAGTGCGAGTTTCACGGCTGTGATGGGGGTTGTCAGTTTGACTGACTGACTGACTGACGTCCCGAATTCGAGTCCAAGTTCCACTTTGACCAACAACTCGTATATCGAGGTACTGGCTGGCTATCTCACCGTGCGCCCTTCCTTTCCTCATTGTGGAGGGATAACTCAACTAGCGGCACAGATCAAACAGGCCAGCGAAACACAGACGTGTAAAGATAACGCGCAAGAGAAAGTGCTCGGAAAGGAAACAATAGCTTACAGTAAACATTACCAACAAGATTCACATCCAGGACTTTCAACCTCGGCTCCTCGGGTTCCCCGATACCGCCTTCATCTGTCCCCGTCCCCGTCGCGGACGGAAAAGGAGGCACGACCCAGCTTCTTCCACCCTCCGAGACGCCGGCGTTCGCGATCACGACGTCAACGCGCCCGACATCCTCGTACACAGCCCTGAAGGCGGCCGCCTGCTCCTCCCACGAGGAGATGTCGCATTTCCGAAACCGCACTGCTTCACTCCCGTCTGGGGTCTTGAGTTCGGCCGCGACGGCCGGGCCGTTGGCCTCGTCGACGTCGAGAATGGTGACGACATCCCCGCCAGCGGCGAAGTAGCCGCTCATCATCTTCCCCAGGCCGCTCGCGCCGCCCGTGACGATCACGCTGCGGCCTTTCTGGGTCGTCATTGTCGCGTAATTGAGAGCAAGTAAGACAGACTATAAGATTGATATCAGGGAGGTGCTGGGCAAGTTGGGGATGACTGGGATCAGCTATGGAGAGTGAACCACAACGACTGAAGAGCAATATAATGGGTTGTTGGGCTGTATATCAAGGGGAGATATATCCGACGTCAGCAACCCATCAACAAGTACATATCCAAGGATAGTCGGCTACTATGTAGATAGATATAAAATTAAAAATGATGGAAAATCTGCTC